TTCTTATTTCAGTATTTTTTGCATTTTTCATTCAAAGAGTGTTGGCTTTTGATTAGATATAATCACAACCAAAACAACATTGAGTATCACATAAACCTTACCCCAAACATACTAAACATTATTCTCAACCGTACACTTGGTTTTTGTCAAAATTGTCATTTTAAGGCTATATTCTGGGACCACATTTCGTAGGCATACCAAAACATACACTGCACTTGATTTTGGTGTGTGTTTTGTATTTTAGTTTTCTTTAAAAAACAAATTTAAATAATAGAGTACTTTATTTGATTTGATGCCATCCTATGCTAATATATTCTCACATTACTGTAGTTTTATTTTGCAAACATCTCTGTAATAATTTTATATTAGATATTCTGTTTTTTGTTAATATTCTGTGAATTCTGTGCTTAACACACAAAAAAAGTGAATCAATTTGTTTAGACAATAATTATCGGAGAGTTTCAGTTTTATTGTTTTCTTGCTAATTTTATTTCATAATAAAGAGCTAATCTCAAATGCAAAATGTCTGTCAATGAGTACAGGGCAAAATATCTTTAAAGCATTTAAAATAATTTAAATAAACTTTAATCCGATTTCAGTTCAAAGAAAAGGTTTTTTATTTCATGCCTTAAAAGTTATTAAGGATTTAAATCTAGACTTTTATATGTATTCTATTGTAATAAGTCTCTACAAAATGACTCTAACTATGATTATAAATAAGCTCAAAACGTTTTTATTATTAATTAGCCTTGATTGATTATACCAATGCATAGGAACAATAGAATAAAACATAAGTAGGCAACATTTAATGTAATAAATTAATTGTATTATTAATTATGCGTTTGCCAGACTAATAATACTTTGTGACAGAGTGTTGGACAGTGAGTGCCAGCGCCCGGGTCTTAATCGCTATACATAAGGCGTTTGAATGTCTGGGATAGTAAGGGATAGTAAGGGATAGTAAGGGATAGTAAGGGATAGTAAGGGATAGTAAGGGCACAGCAATTATCTGAACTCTTAATAACAGATTAGAGTAGTGTATTAACTAATGAGGTAAACAACTCTGTAAACCTGTGTTGCTACTCTGGTAAAAATAGTGTGCTAAGTGTGTTTGGCCTGAGGTGAAGTACAGTATATAATAATGACGTTATACACAGAAAAAACAATATACGGTATAGTTATCATATAAGTTAGCGGCAAATACGTCAACAAAATCGCCAAATCCTCGATCAGATTGCTTTTGAAAAATACCTCACAAATGGTATACGAGTTGAGCCCCGAAAAAAATGAACTCAATTTTTTGCACATTTAATGCATTTGCTATTTTTTGTAATTTAATTTTTTCTCATCCCTAATATTAAAAGCAAAACGAGTTGTGAGAAAGTATTTGGTTCTCTAATCTTTAAATAGCGAAACGTTTTTCTCTCTACAATAAAAAGCTATTCTTTGCGAACAAATAAGGTTTCATTTTAAGAAATAACTTGAAAATTATTGTCTAATCTCATCACATAATTGATTACTCCATTTGTTGAGACATTTGGACACAACGATGAGACCATTTTTATCACACGATTCACACAAACCGGACTCCACTTCATGTCATATATTATTACTGGTTATACACAGAAAAAACAATATACGGTATAGTTTTCATATGAGTTAGCGGCAAATACGTCAACAAAATCGCCAAATCCTCGATCAGATTGCTTTTGAAAAATACCTCACAAATGGTATAATGGTATACGAGTTGAGCCCCGAAAAAATGAACTCAATTTTTTCCACTGAACTCCTATTTGGCGTCTATTTCGAGAGACAGTGCATTGATTTTACTGTTATATTCAGTCTCTCTGGTTCTCACCATTGTTTGAGTTGGCCATACATTTAATGCATTTCCTATTTTTTGTAATTTAATTTTTTCTCATCCCTAATATAAAAAGCAAAACGAGTTGTGAGAAAGTATTTGGTTCTCTAATCTTTAAATAGCGAAACGTTTTTCTCTCTACAATAAAAAGCTATTCTTTGCGAACAAATAAGGTTTCATTTTAAGAAATAACTTGAAATTTAATATTAAATTCAAGAAATCCATTGAGAATAACATATAAAAACATGTAATAAAATATACAATCTACAACAAGCCTGATATATATATATACAGTATAAATATATTAATCCAAAATGCAATTATACAGTTATATTAATATAATATTCTATATGTCTATTGATTTCTATATCGCATTCTCAACCATCAATGCTGTTATTGTCTATACATTAGGCAAATATTCCACTTCTCAACCCTCATCTCCGACATACTTACAGACATCTCCGGCACAATTAGCCAATAAAATGCAAACCACTCGCACTGTAGTACACACTCAACCGATTCACAATTGTTTACCCAATTCAGGTATAGACCAACAACTCCTCCTTCAGTTATATATCGTATATATTATATATATAAGAATATTCTGTGCTTTAGATAATGTATTACATTATACAGTATAACCACCTAAATACAACTGAAACCAAATATTAATAGCAACAAATGCACTAAAAGCCAGTCATTAATATACAAATCAATGATATTAGAGACACAACTAATGTCCAATATGTCTGACATTTTATTCTGGATGACATTAGTTTAATAATACTGTGATATTGCATAACAAATATTAACCAAAAGTAAATATCTGCCTACACAATCAATAACTTCTAACACAGAGCCCGTAATTTAAATGTTATTATTGTTTTGACAATTTTTAATTTATTGTATTCACTACATTTGTCTATCAAGTGTACGTTTCTGAGTATTTCATTATTTAATTAAATAACTTATTGTGAAAGTAATGAGGGATTGAATGTCTGACCCCTTCTCGGTCTTTGAGTCACTTTAGAGAAGGTTTTTGTTTTGAGAGTAGAATCTCTTCACAAAATGAGAGTTTATTAAATAATAGCATAATTATCATTAGGTCTAGTATTACAGTACAGTATTATGTAGAAAACTTTTAACACATTATTAATTAATATTTCGCTTATTTACATATTCACTGCCATTAAATATATTCCTATATATGCTCTCATATTAAGTGAACAATTTTGGACATAAACCTTATTAGAGCCTATTCTTAAACATACTTTCGCTCATTATATGCAGCCTTTTCTCAAGTCATTAATTCTCGGCTTATATTTTGACATTAAAAATATCTTAACTACAAAATGCAATAATCATATAAATGTAACACTATCTTCACTAACCCATTAATGTAATTTTTAAAAAGACTCATTATTTAGTATTTTAATACGATACTGATGCTTTCTATATATCTATTTATAATTATTTCAAAATAACATTTATATACAAGATAAAATAACTGTTATAAATTCACTAAAATGATTTCAATGAAACTTATAATGAGAAGAATGCCAATAATTATTGATTTCAATTAGTTTTCAGTGCTCAATAATGCTGGCCTTTGGTTACTTAATATCTAGTAATAGGAGACTATATAAGGGTTAATATGACATATACTTTGCCATCCCTACCCACGCCAAGCAATAAATTGTGCGATATTTGTAATCCAAAAAATGCAATTAACACAAAAATAACATAATACACAAAATGTTAATAACAATTAAAAATTGTATTATTTATGCGCTCATACTCATCGTAAATAGCTCTAAATGACAAGTACTAAACAAATTGAAATACCATTTGCCACTAAACACAACAAATGAAACTGAAACTAATCAAAATATACTTAATTACTATTATTACCAAAAATGTCTTTAAAAATATTCTGATCTCTATTTCTCTCTTTTTCTTTCTCCACATTATATAACCACTCATTTCTCTTCTCATCCCATCTCTACCTCTAAAAAACAAAAACTCATTTCAAAAAACCTACGATTTATTCAAAAATGCTAACAAATGCTATATTGCATCCGATTTGAAACAATATTATTGCCCGATATTATTGACTGAAATACTTCCACCTGTTTATTATGTCCTCAATATTTTGGTGCTTATTATGAACGATATATTCCTATTAAATGAATCAATAACTTATGAAACTCATTGAACCAAATGAATATATTAATTGCTTTAATTTCAAAATGAATGAATGAAATTAATGAATTTGAATTAATAACTGACTATAACAACAATTAATATTTGAACAAACATATGATCCCGGCATTTGAAACACTCCACTTGCCTATTACTACCTGTTTATTGATCACAACCATTATATATCTCTATCCATCCCTTCCGATGTGTTGTTTGAATCGCTTAAAACTATATTCAAATCCTGTGCCCATAAAGTAGTTCGGAATTCCAATGGTTTGTTAGACCGTAAGTTCATTCAATCATTTTCTATATCCTATCTATCATTCTGTCTGTCTGTACGTCTGTCTGTCTCTATTTGTATGTATTTTTCAATGATTATGTCACTAAAGAAACCACTTCTTTATACAGTACAGTATTGTTTCAAAATCTCAATTTTAATATATAAATTTTAAATTACATAACAATTTAGTTTTTATTATATATTTAGAGTTATTCAAAATTTATTTATGAGTTTTGATTTCTAAATTATTATTATTATTATTATTATTATATTTCATATTCTATCCTTATTGATATTTACATTTGATTTGAAGTTTGTTGAATACATTTAACTTTTAAATGTCTATTTCATTTCATGTATAGTAGTATATTAAATATGACATGATATTTAGTTTGGAAACTAGAGTTGTTAATTATCATTAATTAACAAATAATGTTTAAAAATTTAACATTTGTTTGATGTTAATAAGTTACACACAATATATGGTGCAATTAATTGAATGTCATTCATCTGTCTCTTTTCTTTTCATAACCACAACCCTATGCCATACCTGTGCTCCTAAACGGCCGAATAGCTCGCAAACAAGAAGTAATTAAAATAACTGAGCAATTATTAGACGCTATTAGTAGTGGTGATTATGAGACATATACAAAACTATGTGATCCACAAATGACCGCTTTTGAGCCAGGTGCTCTGGGCAATTTGGTCGAAGGAATGGACTTTCATAAATTTTACTTTGATAATGGTATGAATACTCTTTCATATTAAATAATTTTTGGTTTAATTTATTATTTTCTAAACACTGATAAAGAATACACAACATTTGAACATGATATATCATATATTTAAGTTTTAAATTAAAATTTACACAATTAATTATAAAATCCATTATAACTTATCGCATTATGAATTAATGATTTGGATTTAAAAATATACTTTCTTTGAAAAATATTTATCTCAGACTAGAAAAGTTATATTAAGAGAAAAACGATTCTAAATATAACTTCCATTAATATAATATTTTTATATATATATTGATTCCGTTGGGAATATTCTCATCCAATAGAATATCCTCAGCGACAAGAGTTTTATTTTTGTACTTTTTTATTATACATTTGTTGTAAAGATCTATAATAATAAATTGCATTTTCGATATAATTTTAGTGTTTAACTGACGAGACATATGATATATGAAAAAACAAGTGATACAGCACTTAATTATTTATAAAAAAAATAAATACTTCACTCAGAATTTGCAAATTATCCATATTTTAGCCTAAATTGTAAATGGGTTTATTATTATTTTTTCAGAAAGTTTTGTTAATTAATGGAAACTACATACTGTATAAAAAATGCTACAGAAAATCATTTTGTTTATGTTTTGTATCCCAAAAGCAATAGTGAGAGCGAATTCATTATAGAAGTATTAAATATTAATCACAAAATCCATATCATATCATAGTTTTAGTCACTGTTTAGTTATACCCTAAATATCTATCGCATACATTATAAGTTATTATCTCAAAATAATCTCATATTTTATAAACGCATTCAAAAAACAAACACTAGTGTATAATGTGCACACACTGTCGTTATTAAAGCCGTTTAATGGCTTAAATTGAATACATTAATCATATATTATAATCACTATATTTTTTGTCATATATTTGTAGTTTTAGGCAAAAATTCGAAAGGACTCAACACTACTATTCTTAATCCATCTGTTCATCTGTTAGGAGATGATGCAGGTATTCATGCCATCATTATATCCATTCGCTATAAGATTAACTAGGACCTTTTTTGTATACGTATAAATTATTACTTAAGTCTTATGTTATAAATATATTTAAATACCTTTTTAGCAAAAGAAATTATTTGATATAAGAATTTAATTACTAATTCGTGTTTCACATGTAATTCTGTACTTCAAATATTAGTTTATAGTTTTGAATTCAGGGGTAATATTTAATAATCTAATAAATAGATAAATTAGTCGTGTTTTATGTTTTATGAAAGAATTGAAGTTTTAATCTAATCCTTAGAAATATATTTAAATAATTAATCTTCGCATGAGATCTACATTTTGAAGCCCCTCTAAAAATTCAAAATAAATATCATATTAAAGTGAAGTCTAATTGAATATAATTTTTTGTTTTATTTCAATGCCAATGGAAAGCCTGTATCGCATACATTCGACTCACTCAATACATGGATAAGTAAGTGCACTAACAATTCAATTATATTTTTATAACTTATATATGTATTTGCCTTATATTTGCTGCAAATTCAATTTTGTTGACATATATTTTTATAATTGAATCAAATTCTCATATTTTACTTCTAATTCTATTTATATTCGCTTAAGAATTGCCTTAAAATAAATTCCTTCAATTAAGTTTTTATGTTCACATTTGCTAACGTTTTATTATCAAAATTAGTTTATTATATACTTTAATACGAAAGTAAAAAAAAGATAAAAATAAATTTTTAACAGATACCTTTTTGCTATAATTTGCAATATTAACGTTGTTTTTTGAGTAAATAATTGAGTCTTTAATTTTGAATTCTTGAGAAACAAGAGTTTTTTGCTGAAAATAGGGATTTTTAGGACACGTATAATATAATATAACTTTTTTATACATCGCTACATATTCTACAGTACTATAGTATAGTATATTTAGCATTTCTCGTATGTTTGTGTTAAATAATTTGAATGCATTTCAATTTAATGTTGTGCCCTTTTTGTCTTGTTTTCGGGTTATAAAAGCCTTTTTGCATAAAATGTAATTCTCGGCTCAAAATAGTATTCACTACAAGAGAAACGACACTAAATAATAGATACACAACAAGACGTCGTTTTTATGGTCTGTCGTATAAGTGGAAAGGGGTTTTTTGTTTATAAATAATTTTACGCTCCTTTTCTGATATGACTTACCATTTCATAAAAATATATGTTAAAAGTATTATTTCAGTTTATGACTTTCGTATGTACGCTATACTGTTATATAGAAATGCATTTTTTGAACCACTCTTAAGGTTTCTCTTTATATGTATTTCTCTTTTTTATTCTCCATTTTTGTCGATTCGCTTAATATTTCTGCAAAATATAATCCTTTCCATCGCTTTAACAGTCAATTCCTGTGAAATTTTAAAAAAAACTTTGAGACTAAAGAGAATTGCTATACACACTGTAGTTGTAAAAAATAGTTGTCAGAATTGAAAGCAAAATTTATACATTTTTTACATTTCTTACTGATTTAAACAAATTGAATATAAAATAGAGATATTCTTAGCTTGTATTATGATAAATAAATAATCGGTAATTTCATTCCGAGAATTGGTTCCTAAAAGCAAAACAAAATATATTTGCATTTTATGAATCATTTTGAAGTGTGCTTTTTGTGCGAGAAAAATGCTCTTTTGATAAGAATAGACATTAATATAAAAAGAAATACTTACGAAAAGCGTGCAAAAGATATTTCTATTCAATTGCATTCAATAAAAATCATTTCGCTTTACCTAACCTTTGTATGAATTTACATTGAAGTCATATAAATGAGTTTTAAGAAAATATTAAATGTTATTAATATATTCACTTTGCAAAAAAGTGTTTACTCCAAGTTTTGTCAACCATTTTACATACTTATGAAAAACATATTAATTATATATCATTAGAAGCAAAGATAATTAAAAATCAATTAATAAAAGATATACTCTATTAAGAAAGTAAGAAAAATATATATACAGTCTCTGTAGTAATTACTTGCCTTTAATTTTTCACCTCAGCCTCAGATCATCAGCTTTTGTCCACATTAACAGCCAATCCTCTGTCTCTCTGTCTCTCTGTCTTATATATCACTATATTTTTTCGGTGAAGTTTTCTCATTAAATATGCATTTAATTAGTGTAAAAGCATTTAGAAGTTTAGTTTATACAATGGTTTTTAGCAAAGCATACCATTCTATAGGCATTTTAGAGGTTAATGAAAGCCAATCACGAATTAGACTTCAAATATTTTAATCAACTCTCTCTCTCTCTCTCTCTCTCTCTCTCTCTCTCCAAATTGTATTGAGAATTCATTTCTCTATATTCTCTGATTTTTCAAATGTTTAATATTTTAATTGAAACCCCTTTTATGTTGAAAAAAATTAATTAAATTGTGATGAAAATAGTGACGAGACTTTGGGTAATAAAATTAATTTATTTCATATAATTATTTATTTATCTATTTGTGCAATTTAAATTTTTTATTCTTACAAACCTTGTTAAATTAAATTATTTAATTAATATTTAATTCTGTATTAATTTTAGTTTTCTATCTAGAGTGCAGAATTTATTTTGTACATGCTCCATCTATTCGTAACATTTTGCAATATTTAATTGTAAGCCTAATTGTCGAAATTTTGTCTAAACATGTTTTAGTATTAGTAAAATAAAAAATGTTTTCAAAAACATTGAAATAAAAAAATGTTTAAGTGATATTTTGTTAATGAATTAAATATAAGATTTATAACAAAATTCTTATTTTTAAGAGAAAAGTGCAAAAACGATTTAATAACAATTATATGGAATTTTTATTGATAATGAGATTTTTATCACTTTTATTTCGAAATTCTTAATATTTTTTATTTGTGTCTTAAGAGACACTTCTTTGAAGTTCGAGAAATTCTTTGACAAAAAACACAGAATTTCTTTTCAAATAAATTTTGCACAAATCTCTTTCAATTCAAATATAAATATAATTATAGTCGAGAATTGAATGCAATATATATTTCTGAGAAATATTACTCTTGTAGTGGACTTATATGTGCGTCAAAAGGAAAACCTATTTTTAATGACCACTCTTTGAGACTCCGATGAGATGAGAGAAAAATAAATATTACGTTTGGATTAGATTCTTGTGAGCGATAAATAAGATATAAATCTACGTGTCTTTCGGTTTGGATTAATGTATAGACGAGAGAGACGTCTCTAACATCAATAACAGGCAATTCATATGGAATTCATTCATATAAATAGACTATTATTTAGAATTACTCCAACAGAATATTCTCGAGTTTTCAGTCAATGGCTTAGTTTTTCTGGTGTACAGTCTTATCGACTGACAGTTTTCTGGTAATAATAGATGGAAAACAGCGCTAATTTTTCTTTCACTGAATATAACCCCAAAATATAAACGAATAATAAATTTCTATTCAATATTTCATAACAATAGATGTGATTTCCACCGCAATATATGCGATATATTTATGAAAAAAGGATTGCTTGGAAATACTAATTATTATTATTTGAAATTATATGGCATTTGTTAAAAATAGAGAAAGAATTGCAATGCTTATAGAAAATTGCTTTCCATGAATGGTAGGAATGGTAGCCAACACTACAATTGGTTGATAATGGGTAGAGTGAGTGAGTGAGTGAGTGAGTGAGTGAGTGAGTGAGTGAGAGAGAGAGAGAGAGAGACAGGAAAGTGTTATATCCTTTGCCTCTCAGTTGTGTTTGAGTTCACACTTTTCGCTGAAGAGATGACTATTTTAGTGCTGTTAATATCCGCCAAAAATATATTGTATATGGGAATTGAATGGTCCAAATCTACCACCAAATGATTGGCATTAAATGGAAAATAAAAATTTTTGCTCCGTTTCCCAGGATTTCGAGATTTGCTCTCAATTTTTATCCTTTTCTCTCTATCAATGTGTTCGCTGTCTTATATGGACTTTCCATACAATCCCTGTGCTGTGTCTGTATATGATGTCAATTATATTTCTTTCCTTCTTTTTATTGATTATAAAAACACTGCAATTATCGCCGAAAAACTTCTTTTAAAATGTATTTTATTTTTATAAAAAGCTGTATTTTATTTATTGTTAAGACTTTATTAAAAGATTTCAAGGCATTATAATACATAAAACAAGTCATTAATCCAATGCTTGAACTATATTTTTAAATGAAAAGTCTAAATATCCTTAAATGACTGACTTTAAGACCCAATAATTGGTGCAACGATTGAGATGTAATCAAAATACGGAATAAAGTAATAAATGTATTATTGATTTGTTATAAACACACAAAACTCTTATTCTTTAGACACAAAAGGGCTGAATAATTGTCTCTAAGGATTGCTCTGAATTTGATTACACATTGAATTGAATTTCCAGATATAAAGCGCTGAATAAGAAACTAAACAGTATTTTAATAGCATTACGACTACTTATAAAGAAATGAATTTCGTGTTTCTAATTCTCCTATTTGTATATAAATTAGTGGTTAAACTAAATATAAAAATGTGAACAAAATTACGATTCATACATTTAGTCAAGAGTTTTATGCATTTCAAATAAAACGAGATAAAAAAATATTTTAAAATAAGATCTGCTTTTATATTGTAAGATCTCTCGAGAATTTCAGGTAAAGCTATATGTTATTGACGTTTAAAGAGAGAAAATGTATTGATTTTTGATGATATACTAGATCTGGTCACTCATTCAGATGTTCAGTATATTGTATATAATATAATACGGGCTCAGAAATTGTGTTCAATTTTGAATCACAAAATTCTTGGACAATAAACTAAAAGGAATTTAATAGATGCAACGATTGAGATGTAATCAAAATACGGAATAAAGTAATAAATGTATTATTGATTTGTTATAAACACACAAAACTCTTATTCTTTAGACACAAAAGGGCTGAATAATTGTCTCTAAGGATTGCTCAGAATTTGATTACACATTGAATTGAATTTCCAGATATAAAGCGCTGAATAAGAAACTAAACAGTATTTTAATGGCATTACGACTACTTATAAAGAAATGAATTTCGTGTTTCTAATTCTCCTATTTGTATATAAATTAGTGGTTAAACTAAATATAAAAATGTGAACAAAATTACGATTCATATATTTAGTCAAGAGTTTTAAATGCATTTGAAATAAAACGAGAGATAAAAAAAATATTTTAAAATAAGATCTGCTTTTATATTGTAAGATCTCTCGAGAATTTCAGGTAAAGCTATATGTTATTCACGTTTAAAGAGAGAAAATGTATTGATTTTTGATGATATACTAGATCTGGTCACTCATTCAGATGTTCAGTATATTGTATATAATATAATACGGGCTCAGAAATTGTGTTCAATTTTGAATCACAAAATTCTTGGACAATAAACTAAAAGGAATTTAATAGAATTTGAAATATTTAGATAAATAAATACTTTAGGAATAAAATTCTCAGATAAATGTCCTCTTATATGGATTATATGAAAATACGACAACAACTCAAACAACAACAATAAATTCAAATGAATTAATTCTTATAGAAATTTAAGTGAATATTTATTCTGTGACACAGATTGCTCTCTCTCTCTCTCTCTCTCTCTCTCTCTCTTAACCTCTATATATAACAGAATATGGAATTCAATTAGTCTTAGAGTAATATAAAGCGCTTTCATTTGCCATTTTCCATAAAAGCCCATGAATTCCAAACATAGGATTAATTGGATTTTTGTTTCTCTTCATCTCTACAGAAAACACCAATTCTTTCAATATTCACATCAAATATAATTCGTAAAATACTTTCGGACGAAGAATATCACTGAATAAATACCAAAACTTCAATTTGTATGAGAGGTATGAGATGGCAAATGGGAAATATGAGAACCAATGATGAGTGAGTGAGTGAGTGTGTGTGTGAGTGAGTGAGAGAGAGAGAGAGAGAGACAGGAAAGTGTTATATCCTTTGCCTCTCAGTTGTGTTTGAGTTCACACTTTTCGACAATTCTTAGATTAAATGATGAAATATATTTTTCCCTCAAATAATCCTTTTTTAGTAATGCTTTTCATAATTTGGTTTCTTTTTAATTATCAGATGAAAGTTGAGTACATTTTATTCAAGATAATCTTTTGCTATTAACCAAAATTTCTTTCATTAATAGTCTTGTAATGGATTTATCATATTTGGAAATTTTAAGTTTTCATTTAATAAGTTAATTGCGAAAGTTTAGAAAACTTTAAATTAGTTATTTTGGTATATATTCTCGTTTAGAAACTGTATTTTAGAGAATAATTTAATTTCATAAATAATTACTGTGAATGAATGATAAAATGCTCAATATCATATGTGAATAATTTGTTTGAAAAGTAGTTTTTGGTAATAATTGCACTAAAAGAGACAGTTTTTGAGATAAAATTATTTATGCCAAACAATAAGATATTTATCAATATGTATGATAAGTATTATTCAACTCTTTATTTGGTTTTCAAATACGATTTGTTGCAAAAATTTTGGTTTAATGTGTGGATTGGGTTTATAGTGACGGGTGTTTGCGGTGCAAACTTGTAGGACCAACAATTAACATGGTAATTTTTGGCTGCAAAACTGGATTCTTATTAATAAGTTTCGTAAATATTATTATCAATACTTCTAATTACATAACAGTTATATAGTCTATAAAAACATTTCATTAATTTTTTTGTAATTATTCGTTGAATTATTAATGTAATCCTTTAATAACATGTAAGTAATGAGAGTTTTTTCATTGTTTTTGATATAAATATAAGTAACGTATAATGAGTTGGAAAAATTCATTTCTTAAATATTTGTTGAATTTTCAAAGTCTTGTCTTTGTTTAGCAAAAAATGTGAAACTGTTTTGAAAGCACAGTATGTTTTTGAAATCGCAATATATATATTATATATTTATGTTGAAAATGTGAAATCTTGAGTTGAATAAAAAATGTCATAAAGTTTTATATTTATTATTTTTAATAGTATTTCAGATGTCATCCAATTAAAGAAGAAATTCAGTTTTTAAAGCTAATTATAATTATTAGAAAAGTTTGTTTCGCTTTCGATAGTAGTTTTAAGAGACAAAAGTTAATTATGATTTTCATTTCTAGACCATTTATAATTCAGATTTCTCGATGAGTTTTGTATTTTTAGATTTGAGATATTTTTCCACGACTTTTCATTTCATCATATATTTCATGTACAATATGTTTGATAAGAATAGTATTTAAATAGTATTAAACCAAATGAATAATAATATATATTGTACTCAAAACAGAAATATGTTTTGTTGAATTTGAATTTTTTAAAACAAAAATCAAAAACCATTTTCTCATTGTTAACGACAATCTCATCGCTAATTCATATTTAATATATTTTGTTGGATTTAATGGAAAATTCTTGTAATTCTTGCAATTCTTGTAATTCTTGTAATTCTTGCAATTCTTGTACTCGTTTTGTTGTATTCAAAAATTGTGTTCAATTAAGTCTTAAGTGTTTGTCGTTCACTGTATTTGTAGTTATAGTTATAATATTTGTATTGGTCTTTAAAATTATTAACATATTTAAGTATAATTAATAAATTATTATTATTATTGGTAATGAAATATCAATTGATAGCTAAGTTGTGGTGTTTTAATAAGTGAGTTGTTGTGTTGAGTTGGATCGGGTAGACCTGTGGAAGTGGCAGTTCTGCCATTTGCCGTCCCTTTTATGCCAAACACGAGTCTCTTCGGACTGTTGGGTGTGCGCCACACCTGACCTGCAATTGATCATCAATTCATTAGACATATACTTATTTCAAATACCCAGCAATTCCCACTAAACCATTGGTTATTTATGCATAACATTAGCTGCAAATTCAAATTTAAGAGCCAATTATTATGTGAATATAATTGCCAACAAATATTTTGAATGGTGAATTCACTTTTCATAGTTTTCATATTAATTTATGTTTTCATAATATTGTCGAGTTTTTCATTAAATTCAAGAATTATTATTGTTTTTGTGAAAGCAATCATAAAAATAAATTTATAGTTAATTATAGAATGCAGTATGCTTTACAAACAAATAAATTAGACTGATAATATTAACTGTATGTGTAAATATCACTGATTTATATATCACTCATGTTTGCAAGAAAACATGATAAATATTTTTTAAAATTTTCAAAAGGTTTTATAATTAATTTCATAAAATGCAGCAATAAATAAGATATAAATAAATTAATAATGAAGTCAAAAATGCAAGAATTAATTAATATTTAAATTTACTAAAATATACTATTTTTGGGTAAATCAAATATCAAAGATAGTTAAAAACAATATACCGGTAGATAAAATATTTATCAAACGTGTGTGTGTCATTTCAATTATCAAACTATTTATTTAAAAAATATTATAAATATACTTAACAAATAAAATTTGCGAAAATAAATAAATAAATAAATATGGGCTGACATTGAGTTAGCAAAGTGTGCCCACCAACATTTTATTTATATACTTAATTGAATTTGTGATCAAAAAAGTTGAATTGTATGTTTAATAATAAATAATAGACACAACAAATATGTTACCCCGGGACTCAATTCTATAAATGTTGAGTTTTTATTTCTCGTAGTCTATAAATCCATATGTAATGAAACGATTCAATGATTTATTGAAAGCGAGAAAAATCGATACATTTTGTGATACATTAGGAGATGAGTAGAAAATATGTGGGGAGAGAGAGATTGGTTGGTAAGGGTTTGGTAGACAATGGATGGCAGGTGTTAGGCTTAATAGACAATGAGACTGATGTTGATTTGAGAATTAATTTAAGCAGAGGGAGTGTCCCTTAAAACACAACAAATACTTAATTAATTACTAGATGAGATCAACTTTTCATTGAAATTTGTGACATTTGTATATTTGTTTATAAATAAATTTAGATATTTATATATTGTGTTCAATATAGATTCCTTATAAATAATACATAAATAAGTACTTATCAACCTCAATATGAATACAAACTTTAATTGACAATAAATTATCTTTTATAAAATTGTTTTTAGTTCATATATTTTATATTAAGTATTTAAGCAAATAATGATTTTATGTTGCAATTAATCGATCAAATGAATGAATAAGAAAAGTTAACTACATTTCAAATATTTACTGTAATTTATTTGAAATATTATATACTTATATTGTATATAAACACAAATAATGATAATATTTATTTGCAAAAATGATATAATATTGATTAGAGGTATAATATTGTTAAAGCATATTTTGAATGCATTATAAGAAAGTTCATAAAACATATATACAAAGTATACATATATATACTGTATGAAAGAAATAAATGAATAAATTCCGTGTTTTTCATAAACACATTATTTTATTGATAAAAATATTGTGATTAAACAATCGCTTTATTATACCAAACAGTTTATGAATTCAATTAATCAAAACATTGCAGTAAACAATATTTAGTGTACAACTTTGAAATTTGTCGCTTTTAATACTGACAAAATGAGTTGTTTTATTAGTTTATAATAATTGATTTTTATTCATAGAAATAATAAACTACTTGAATGAATAAAGCAAACGCTATCTGGACTAACAGTCTCTCTCTCTCTCTCTCTCTCTCCCCACATATTTTCTACTCATCTCCTAATGTATCACAAAATGTATCGATTTTTCTCGCTTTCAATAAATCATTGAATCGTTTCATTACATATGGATTTATAGACTACGAGAAATAAAA